TTCTCATTTCAACATGGTGGGCGCGTGCTGCTGGCACCAGCGTGGCACACCTCCTCTGTGCTTGTTGGGGGGGGGGATGGGCTACGGCAGTCTGGAACCCTCCTCTTTTGTGCTGGGAGTTCCTCACCTCCTCTGTGCTCACTGGGGTGGGAGGGGTACGGCAGTCCAGAAGCCTCCTCTTGTGTGCTGGTAGCGGCTCACCTCCTCTGTGCTTGCAGGGGTCTGTGCACTTATTTTTATGTTGAAATCTTTCTAACTTTAAAAATTAGCACCATTAATATCAAGTTAAAATAGACAACTCTCACCTTAAGCATTCAGTGTCATTTTGAGGCTTTTCATTGATCTTTATTTTTTCTGCCTCTAGATATTTGGTAGTACAAATTGCTTCTTTCTCTTCATCCTTAAGAACTGAAGAAAATTCTTATATTTAAAAAAATTAAACCTAAAGGCTATCTTTATTCATTCATCTAAAAAATACTCTTTTGATGCTTCATGTTAAATATGCATAGTGATAATTATTATTTTCTACTTTAATATCACAATTATACAAAAAGATCTTCACAGAATTTGTGGCAATAGGAACACCGCCTTTAACACTGATCTAATTACTATTTACCTATTTCTTTTTTATATCAATACTGGCACTATATCCCAATAAGTTAATTCCTTTTTTAAGATTACTAACCCTATCATTTGTTTGCAAATGTAAATATTTGTTGGCAAAATTAACTAAGTCATAAAAGTAATACCTTTAAGTTTTCTTTGGAGAGTAAGTAATTCTTGTATCAATTCACTCTTTTGTTTTTGAAGTTCACTGAACTGCCCATTGTCATGTTCCATGGACTTTATTTCTACAAATAATGACAATAACATCAAAAATTACATAAGAATAGATTTAATCAAACAAATGAAATATCTCTATTATGATAATATAAATCATTGATGAAAGAAACTGAAGAAGATACAACTAAATAAAGATAATTCCAAGTTTATGAATCAGAAGAATTAGTATCAGTAAAATGTCCATGCTACCCAAACCAATATATAGAATTTAATGCAATCCCCATTTTGGGACATTCATCACCCCCAAAAAAACCTCCATTCCTGATAGCAGTCAGTGCCAGTTTTTGCCAGGTCCACCAGCCTTAGGCAATTATCAATTTTCTTTATGGATTTGCTGATTCTGAATATTTTACAAAAATGGAATCATACATTCTATGGCCTTTAATTTTTGACCTTTTACTTAATATGACTTCAAGGTCCACTCATGTTGTACCACATATCAGTGTTTTTTTCTTCTTTATGCCTTAACAACATTCTATTTTATATATATAGTATATTTTATATTTTCATTCATCAAATTATATTTTGAGCTATTTATTTTGTCTACTATGAATAATGCTACCATGAACATTCACGTGCAAATTCTCAGGTGCATTTTTGTTTTCAATTCTCTTAAATGCCTAGGAGTGAAATTGCTAAGTCATGTAATAACTCTAGGCTAATTTGTTTTTGTTTTTTGTTTTGTGGTACCAGAAATTGAACTCAAGGTCTTTGCACTGAGATACATCCTCAGCCTTTTTTAGTTTTTGATACAGGTTGTTGCCCAGGCTGGGCTTAAACTTAACTATACTACTGCGTCAGCCTCCCAGAAGGCTAGGATTGTAAGCATGAATTCTGATAAATAAATCACATTTCAAAGCAGTTGTATGATTTGGTATCCTACTTGTAATTCATGGCATTTTCAATCTCTTTGTAGTCTCACCACACTATTACTGCCCACCCTTATGATAGTGACATCATTGTGCTTTTGATTTGCAGTTCCCTGATGACTAAAGATGTTTAGCATTTTTTTAATGTGGCCTTTTGTATATGTTTTTTGAATAAATGTCTATTAAAACTTTTAGTTCATTTTTAAGGTGAGTTGTCTTTTTACTGTTGTGTTGCAAGATTTATATTCTGGATCTGAGTCCCTTATCAGATATATTACTTGAAAATATTTTCTTCCATTTTTGTGGTTGTCTTCACTTTCTGGATAGAACTCTTAAACATAAGAGTTCTCGATTTTCAATGAAGTCCAATTTACCCATTCTTTGATTACTTGTGCATATCAAAAAAATTCACTAACACAACATTACGAAGATTTACAATTATATTTTTCTTAAGAGTTTTATATTTCTTCAATCTCTAGTACCACAAAAAAGTTTTATATTCTAGCTCTAACACTGTTTAATTTTTGTGTATGGTGTGAAATGCATCAATGGTGAGATGGTCTTTGATTCATTTTGTGTTAATTTTTGTATATGCTGTGTTCATGTGCATTCTTTTGAATGTGGATATCTAGTTATTCCAGGGCTATTATTTTTAAAGTTTATTATTTTCTCATTGAATTATCTTGGCATCATTGTCAAGAACCAATTGACCATGGAGGATGAGTTTATTTCTGGATCCCTAATTATATTCCATTGATCTTGCTTATTTGTATGCCTGTGCTACTCTATCTTTATTACTGTAGCTTTATATAAACTTCGAAATTAGTAACTGTGAATTCTCCAACCCAGTTCTTCCTTTTCAAGATTATTTTGGCTATTCTAGATACTTTGTATTTCCCAGTGAATTTTAGAGTCAATTTTCCAAGTTTAGCAAGAGAGTTTAGCAAAATCTCTACCTGAGATTTTGATGGGGGTTGCAGTTGCATTGGATCTTCATGTAACACTTGGCAGTACAGCCATCTTAACAGTATTGTCTCCCAATCTACAAACAAGTTTTTCATGTAGTTATTTCTTTATTTTCCTTCAATGTTTCTTATACGTTTTGGTTACATGCCTTGTACTTTAAAAAAATGTATTCCTAAGTATTTTATTTTTGGTGTTATTATAAATAGAATTTTCTTAAATTTGCTGACAAATTGTTGACAATATGTAGAAATATGATTGATTTTTGATCTTATACCCTGCATCTTTGCTGAATTAGCTCTAGTAGTTTTCTTTAGTTCCTTTGGATAATCTCAATACAAGCTCATGTTATCTTTGAATTAGGTAAGTTTTCTTCCTTTCCAATCATCTTTTGGTAACTTCTCTTGCTTGCTTGCCTAGCTAAAATCTGCAGCCCTGTTTATAAGTGGCAGTATGAGTATATACTTTTTTCTTCTTCCTGATAGTAGGTGGGAAACTGTCATTTTCCCACCATTAAGAATGACATTATAGGGCCGGGGATTTAGCTCAGTGGTTCCGTTGTTTGCCTAGCAAGCTCAAGGACCCGAGTTCGATCTCTGGTACCAAAACAAAAAACAAAACAAAGAATGACATTATGGCCAGGGATTTAGCTCAGTGGTTCGGGTGCTTGCCTCACAAGCGCAAGGTCCCAAGTTCGATCCCCGGTACCAAAAAAAGAGAAAAAAAAGAAAAAAAAAAGAATGACATAAAGTTGAGGAAAATTCTTTGTTTTATCATGAAAGAATATTGTCAAATATTGTTACTGTATCTTTGGTTTTTTTTATGTCTTTTATTTAGTACCCCCCCATCCTCTTCCCTTCTCTATAAAGTCTATTTCTCTATGTTCATTTCTTTGAGTATACTTAATAAATAAAAGCAGTTTTAAATTCTTTTTCTCCTAATTGCATCATCTCTGTCACTTCTGGGTATATATTTATTGATCCAATTTCCTCCTTGCTCTAAGTTGTAATCTGTTGCTTCTTCACATTCTTAGTGATTTCTGATGCGATACAAGCTATTATGTTTAAAATTTTGTTGAATGTTTGAGTTTGCTGTCTTCCTCTAAATGATGTTGATGCTTGTTTTAGTACAGTTAAGTTACCTATGGATCAAACTTGTTTAGAACATTTTTATAGAATGATTATATAACAGCATTCAATCTAAGGAAAATTTAATCCTACTATTAAGGCCAGACTCTTCTGTGTAATGAAATCTTACTATATCTCCCAGTTCCATGTGAGTTCTTAGCATTTCTCACTTTATTACTCCCAAGTAGTTTTTCTTTACTCAGCATGCTGGAGTTTCCCCATGTGAGCACAGGTTTATACAGAGAAAAAGACTCAAGGGGACCTCCATGCAGATTTTTCTCTGTGTGAACCTGTCCTCTTAAGCACATTTTCTTGAAAATTCTGGCTGACTTGGCCTCCCTGATCTCCAATCTTTGCATCTTCAACTCAGACCACTGTGCATTGCTTAAGATTCTCCTCCCAGTGCTATTATCTAAAAGCTGTATCCAAGTAGAAAGCTGGGACAACGACAGGGCTTATCTTATTTGTTTTCCCTCTCTCAAAGATCACAGTTCTGTAATTTTATTATCCTCAATACCTAAAAATAGTTTGTCATATAATTTCCTCCAGTCTTCTAGTTGTTTGTGGAAGGAAAATTTCATAAAATTATTCCTTCATGAGCATAAGTGGAAATTATCTATATAATAATCAATTCATTCTTTTACCTGTCTCTCTTCCACATTAGATTATAAGCTCCTTGAAAACAAGAAGTATGCCTCATTCATCTTAAACCCTTAATTCTTGAAGCATACTTGGCATTAGTACATACACAGCACATAGCAGGCTTTCAATAAAGTATATTAAATCATAATTGTCTTTAAATATTTTTGATTATTCACAATGATTTTGACAATTAATGTGGGTAAATAAGTAGACAGTTTTAAGAAAAGAGACTGACATTTATGCTTCTGTTCCTTGTTTAAATAAAAACTTAAAACACAAATATAAATACATGCTAATAATTAATAGATGTATCTTATAACACAATATTTGAGATGAAAAAATATACAATATTTTATTCATTATTAGTTGATTTATCAGATATATGATGGTAAGATCTTTGTACAAGTAAATCTTAGGCAAGAATCATGGAGACATGTTAGCTTTAAATATTCCTGAGTTGGAGGATATATTATTTTTCTTCATCCTGACTCTCTAGGTAAAGTAGTCTGAGGATTGATTTTTTTAAAGAAAAAAACATTTCATTTCCTATTGAAGCTTATAAAATTGGAATAATAAACACTTGTCTTGTGGTGATAACATTTTTCCCCATTTTCTAGTGTCTCATTTTATTTTTAAATTCACAGCTTTATTGAGGTAGAATTGATGTAGTGATTACTTTTAATTTCTTTTACTGTCTAAAACTCCAATGTTTTAATCAATAGCTAGGTTTGATGTCTATGGATACTAAGCCAAACTAAGACAATCAAAATTCATCCTCTTCTTTTAACATGTGAGTTGTCTTTCTTATATGTACATTGCCAATCATTAGTGGGTATTACCAAGAAAAGAAGTGAAATATACATCTTATCTCACATCCAAGAAAAGCCAATTCACCAACTAGGAGAAATAAGTAGGATTATTTTAAGAAAAATGTTATGACAATATTACAATCGTTATTTTGAAGCCAAAATGATGAATGTTTTTATCTATGAATTACCAGATATTAAAAATGAATAAATATTTAGTCACTTCACAAATATATATTGAATGCCAAGTATTCCATATGTTTAATTGCTTGGGCCAAAAACTTTGGAATCAACTTTAATGCCTCTCTTTCCGTCACAGCCCAAATCTAGTCTGTCATTAAATCTTGCTCATCTATCTTGAAATGTAAATCCAGAATCTGAATACATTTTGTCATTTCTATTCCTACATCACTTATCCAAGCTAATATTATTTTTCATCTGGACTACTGCTATGGTCTCCGAGGTTTTCTGTTTCTGATTTTGCTTCTCATAAGTGTTCAATAGTCACCAAAGTAATTTGTTAAAGTATGAGACCTTTCACTCCTTTGTTCAAAACTTTCTGAGGGCTTCTAAGGGCTTCTAACTTCATTCTAATAAAAGT